ACAGTATTGCACAAGCCATGACACGTAATAGATATTTTCAAATCAGAAGCAATTTAAAAGTAGTTATTGACGCTGATGTGCCTCAAGATCAAATAAATGCTGACAAATTATTTAAGATCCGGCCTTTGATTGAAAGAATACGAAGAGGTTGCTTAACACTTCCAAGATACAGTGAGGTTGCTGTGGACGAACAAATGATACCTTTTACGGGAGTGTGTAACATGAAACAATTTGTTCGAGGTAAACCTAATCCAGAAGGATTAAAAAATTTTGTCTGCGCCACTCCCAAAGGATTAATATTAGACTTCGATATTTATCAAGGGAAAAATACATTTCTGCAGAATGATGATGATGTTAAGAAGTTAGGTGTTGGTCCATCTGCAGTAATTAAGTTATCTACAACATTATCAGAAGGAACACATGTTTTCATTGATAGATATTTCACCACCTTACCTTTACTTGAGTACATATAGTTAAACAAAAATATTTTTTTAACTGGTACAATAATGAGATCCAGAATACCCAAAGCAGTTCATGTAACATCAGATAAGGTGATGAGTCGATTAGGTCGTGGTTCTTCTGAGCAAGATGTAAGATCTGATGGAAAAATTAACATAGTCCAATGGTATGACATGAAATCAGTTATGCTAGCGTCAACTGCGTTGCAAATAGAACCTTCAGATGAATGTAAGCGATGGTCAAAAAAGGACTCCCGATATGTTGAGGTACCTAGACCAAACATTGTTAAAAAGTACAACGAATCCATGGGGGGAATAGATTTAATTGACAGGATGATCAGTTATTATCGAATGTGAGCTAGAAGTAAGAAATGGACAGTAAAAACCATTTTTCACTTATTTGATCTTGCGATTGCCAATTCTTGGAATCTGTACAGAGATGACCATAAGCAACTGGGTGATGCTAATAAAACCGTTATGCAGTTCCTGGAGTTTAAAATAGCTGTTTCTGAGTTGCTCCTTAAAGATAACATTTCTGAAAATTCTGATTTTGAGAACATTTCAACACTGGTAACTAGAAACAGTTACAAACCTAGAACATCACTTCAAACGCCTACTAAGAGAAAGATACAAGACATTCCTGCAATGGCATCCGAGTTAAAAAATTCTGTTAGATGTAAGCTTCCAGGTTGTAAGGGTAAAACAAAAGTTTATTGTGAATCATGTGACATATTTTTATGTTTAACGGGAAATAATAATTGCTTTAAACAATTTCATTTATAATAAGTTTGTATTGATGCGATCCTGATGTCCTTTTAAATGGACATGTTTTTTTTCACATTCAGCAAAAAAATAAAAATTCAGAAAAATTTACATGTGTTTTTATACTAAACATCAAACAAATTCTATTATTTAATCAAAAAAAAAAAACAAAAAAGATCAGGTCAGGTCTCAGGAGGATATATTACTTGGGTTAGTATATAGATTTAGTTACCTTCACGTATTTAGGCCCTAGTTAATGAATATGCCCTTCAGTCCTACTGGAATTCAGGTTCAGTTGTGGAGGCACCGCGCGCTATCACGAGTTTTCGAAACTTCAGGTGCCCGGCACTTATACGGTACTATTATCCTGTCGAAATACAATAGCGCGCTCACTTGATCGCCCGTGCTTGTGGCGAGGAGCCTTCTCGACGGTTCCACTCTTACTGACCCCCTGGCCTACTTCGTTCGTTTTTATGAACCCGTATTCTCATTTACCGAGGTCGAGCTTTTGCTGACTCAGTACTCATGCTTCAACCGGGTCAGGCAGCGGTGTTATTTTTCAACAAAGGTCTCCGTTTTTAAACGTGATTTTTTTCTTTTAAACAATTGTTGCAAACTGATATTGAACTCGTGAATACACTTAAACTAGGTCGAGTTATCATTCTTTGTTTAATTTGAAATGTATACGTTATCTATGTCGAATTATTTGTTCTTTATTCAATTTGGGATATATAATAATTATTTAACCCTTTATAGGTCTGTGGTCGATATTTCGACCACTGCTCTTATTAATACTTATCAGCTAGTAATTGACATAAGAAGTTACCGAAGTGCAAATTCAGTGTTTGTAAATGAATTGTACCCAAAATGAACACCACAGAACAAAATACGGCAACGTGGCAGCGATTCGCCAACCACAACCCATCATACTCTGTAAGTTACCGTTGAACGTGATCACAGGTTTTTGCCGTTTGTAAAAGTTAGAAAAATAATTTACAAAAGATTTATACATCAAACTCAAGGTAACACATCACAGTATTATGGTCTTTTACTATCTATTCAGATTTTATTGGCGCTAAGATGATATATCTTGATTTACTAAACATATCCTCAAAGTAGCACATGCTGATTTTACAATTATTCTATTGAAATGTATTTTCACTCTTGTTTATTTTAAATATATACAATTATATTCTTTTTTTACGTAAATCTGACTTACTTGAATAATATTTCCAAGAATTAAATTGTTGTGCAGTAGATCAAGTAATTAAATTTTTCAAGTATTTGTATACAACAATGTACGTATCTTTTGCAGTAAAATGGAACACCGCAATATACTTCAAAATTTACAAAATATGACTCAAGATGATTTATTTGATTACATAGATGGTATTCCATATCAACAAGCCATAAATTCATATTTTGAGGGTGATTCTGATGCAGAAGATAATCTTTATATCAGAATATTATGATGCAGAAGAAGATAATAATTCATTGTCTAATGATGACAAGGTTGAATTTCTTGATGTTGATTCAGATGACTCAATGGATGATATAGCTTTCCACCCTCAGGTAAGAACAAATCGCATTTTTGACGACGTCGATACTTCCTCAGGCGAAGACGAAATAGAAGAGAATCAAGAGAACACAGTAAAGTGCGATGATACATATAAATGGAGAAAGAACGCTTCTGATGCACAAAAATATTCGAATGCGCCGTTTACCAGACCATTTGGCCCAGCAAAACCGGTCAATATAAATTCACCATTCGACGTGTTTTCTTTGTTCATGAGCAAAGATATTATAGCTAATATAATTACACAGTCAAATCTCTATGCTCAACAACAAAATCGTAATAATCTCGACCTAACTGAGGAAGAACTGAAAGCATTTCTAGGGGTTCTTATAATCATGGGGTTTCATAAACTACCTAGTTTGAGACATTATTGGTCAACTGATATTAACATGCACGTACCAAGAGTTTCGCAAATTTTTACGCAAAAACGATTCTTAAAAATTCTTCGTTTTCTCCATCTAAACAATAACGAAAACATGGAAAGAAATCAAAATAATCAATTTTGACAAACTGTTCAAAGTAAGGCCTTTGATAACAGAACTGCAGCAACGCTTTCAAGAGAACTTTTATACAAGTAGAAATGTTGCGGTAGATGAAAGTATGGTTGCGTTCAAGGGGTGAAGTTCTCTCAAACAATATATGCCGAAAAAGCCCATAAAAAGAGGCTTTAAAGTTTGGGTCGTTGCATGCTCCGAAACTGGATACGTGCACAAATTTAGCATATATGAAGGCAAATCTCAATCACAACATGCTGAATATTATGGTTTAGGCGCTAAAACGGTATTAGACATTACTGAGTCTCTTAGAGGCGCAAACTACTGCATTTATTTCGATAATTTTTTCTCGAGTTTTCCTCTTCTTAAGAAAATGTTAACCTATGATTTTTTCCGCTGTGGAACTTTTAGAATAAATGGTAAAGGCTTTCCAACACAAATGAGAAAGGACAAAACAATGAAAATGGGAGAACACGATTATTTCATGTCCAATGATATGTCTGTTGTTAAATGGAAAGATCGGGGGCGCAAATGCGTTTTAGTCGGCAGTACTATGCATAATTCACTTGAGGTTACTTCAGTTTTGCGAAGAAAACCGAATGGTGAACAAGAAAGTGTTAAGTGTCCAAAAGCCATAAGTGAATACAATCGCTATATGGGTGGAGTCGATCTATTCGATCAACTTCATGCTTCTTATCCAATTTCATGGAAATCCCGAAGATGGTATATGAAGATTATTTACTATTTGATTGATGCAGCAGTGGTAAATTCATATATAACTTATAAGACTACAATGAAAATGAGGTCCATTAAATCGAAACCAATGAGTCAATTGTATTTTAGAAGTGTATTGGCCAACGAGCTCATAGGTGATTTCTATAACAGAAAGAGACCAGGACCTAAGGTAACAATAGGAAGAAATAAACTGAAGAAAATGGGAGCAACCACTAATTCTGTTAGCGTTGAAAGCACGGTGAAACTAAGCGATGTTGGCAATCACATGCCAGAAAAAGGAACATCAAGACGTTGTGCACTCTGTTCAACGAGAGCAAAGCCAAAACGTTCAAATATTAAATGCTCAGATTGCCAGGTTGCATTATGTATTCAATGTTTTCCATTATTTCATAATAAAAATGTTTAATTAATGTGTTTTTTTCTGTGGTCGATTATGGAACCACAACTACATTTACCAAAGTCAACATACCTAATCAGGCTGTGGTCGAAATTTCAACCACCTAAAAAAAAACAACAAGGAGTGAAAATAAAATGAAAATACGAATGAAAGTTCAATAACGGATCATTTACTCGTCTTAGGCTACTATCCCTTATTTTTTTTTTTTTTATTTTCTTGCTATGTTTACATTACAATTTCTAGGCTTCTAGTACTATTTAACTATTCTTTTTGTAATTTCTAGCTTTTCCCATTTTTGTTTAAACATTAAACCCAGCAAAGTAGTTAAAACCATCGACAATATCCAAGCTGTACTCTTTTTCCTAGATAAATATTGCCAGTGCGTCTTGTCAAATCATTCTCATCACACAAAAGAAGAGTATCTTGCCGCATCTTTCATCTGGCTATCGCAACTGAATTATTGTTTTCATACGATAAAAAAATAAATAAATTTTATATCAAAAATTGGTATAAAATTTATACCAATGGTATCAAAAAAAATTAAAAAAAAAAAATAAAACAAACTACCAAAAAATCACAGTATATTCAAAAACTTTATACAGCACAATATAGATTAAAAATCAAGGTTAAACCTATGAAACTTATCAGTTTTGTTGATCATATTATAATAAAAATAGTCTGTGACATTTAAACCAACGGTTGAAATTTCTTTTTCCGATCTGAAACAAAAAAATTTAAGTTTATTCTAAATAACACAGAATTAGAATAGGACAAATTTATTTTCTGCGTGTCATATACATTTAGACAGAACCAGTCTGGGGATTTAACAACTTCACTGTCCAATTAATCATATGCGAGCCAAAGAGTGCGTTTATAACCCTAATCCGTACGTCCAGAAATCAAATGTGATTCAAGAGTCTTATTTTCTAGTAAGATTTCCAAAAAAGTTTTTCCTTCTTGCCGACAATACATTAGACGATCAGACTACCTCCTGCTGCAATATGCGTTCTTCTAGTGTAAGTTTGGCAAACGGACGCCCTTAAGTTGGTCTTTTTTCTTTGGACTGAGCTACTTGTGAAGTAAGACTATTTGCACGCCGCGGAAAATAGTCGTCGCCACTTTCACTACTGAAATCAACAACGATTTCATCTTCATCTGAGATTTGAGATTTTTCTTTCACACTGTATCAACTTCATTATAGGTCGAATATCAGAACAGAAATAAACAGCTAAGTAATAAATCTAACTATCTATAAAACCGAAATATTTGTCGAAAGTAGCTACATTTTCATTACAAAAGCACGTTTAATGAATCATATAGTGCGTTAAGTTTTGGATTAGGTATACACTCTATAAATGGCAACACTGCGCGTCGTCGACTTGCAACTACATATTTCTGCTTCGATGACTCGTCGTTGCTCGTCGCCCGTCGGCAAATTTGTCATATTGTCATTATACCGTGGTTGTTTAAAGGTATAACAGCGTAGAGTTTTAATTTATTTTTGTAAACATGTCTGTTTATATGGCCGCGGAAAAAGCTCAAATAATAAAATGGTTTTATAGTGGCAATTCTGCGCAACAGTGTGTAGATTTATTTTCTGTGTTTTTTGAGGGAAGACCAATTCCTTGTGTACAGTCAATTTATAATATTGTTTAAAATTTTGAGAGTTGTTATTGCCTCAAAAATTGCAGAAAATGTCACGCTCAAGAAGTGTTGCCAGAAAAAGTTGAGGAAAGAGAATACCGGAATACACAAATTTGTGCAACAATCGAGGTAGATTCAACACGTTCAAGTAGAAGCGTTGCTAGAGAGTTAGATGTTAGCAATGTTACTGTAACGAGAGTATGGAAAAAGCACGGTTACAAGAATTTTAAATATTCGAAAACGCAGCAGCTTTATCCAGACGATTACTTTCGAAGAATGGAGTTTGGTGAAACTCTAATAACGAAGGCTAATAGCGAACCAAATTTTATTAAAAACATTTTATTCACTGATGAATCTTCTGTTTCGTTAGTAGGGAGACACAATCCTTCCATTATGAGGTATTGGGCGCGGGAAAACCAGCACAGAAGTGTTGTTTACCGAACTCAACGTCCTCAAAAAGTTAACGTCTGGACTGGCATTTTAGGAGACCACATAATAGGTCCATTTTTTATTGAGGGCAACTTGAATAGTAGAGTATACCTCGATTTGTTACAGAATCATGTTCTTCCCGCTATTCTCAATCTTCCTGATGTAAATCTGGAGAATGTTTGGTTTCATCAAGACGGCTGTTCAGTTCACAACGCTCGAATTATTAGGGAGTCTTTAAACAATACTTTCCCGAATCGAGTTATCAGTGGAACAGGCGATATTAAGTGGCCTGTGCGATCTCCAGATCTTACACCCATGGACTTCTTTTTTTGGGGACATTTAAAAAGCATTATCTACGATCATCCTGAGGCTAGAGCCAAAAATTTGGATTAATTAAAAAATCGAATAAGTGGAAGTCTCCAATTCTGTTACAGCAGAAACTCTTTCATCTGTTCGCAGAAATTTTTTATGACATACAGTGTAGGAAAAATTTTATGGTCGGTATGGTAAAATTTAACAGGATATCTAACGCAGATATAAAATCATATTTTCAGCGAATAGACAAAGATAACAATCATATTTCCCCTTGGTCTCCCCTCCTCAAATATTTTTAACACCTATTGGCCATTAGTGAGACGAATAGTTCCGATCAGAGATATTTTACATATTCTCTGGTTCCGATCCTAATATACCTAAAAACTAGAGGTGGGTCCTCCCGTTTTTTTAATTTTTATCGGAACCGTTTTTCGTAAACTGTAACTAGTTGATTCAAATTAGCGAGTACACAAACATATTGGCTATTATCGTTTATGTGTATAAGTATTGAAGTGAAAGAACCTAACGAAGGATATATTTATTATAACTTGAAAAATAAATTAAACAATACAAATAGTACTTACATTTACATTAAATCGTACTTACATTTACATTACACGTTATTATTAAATCGCGAACCGTCTAAATTGACATTTAAAAACAAGTTTTTCTACTTTTCTTGTTAACTGTGTTCTTCTTTTATTTAAAATGTTACAATTCTACAATATTCTATGAATATAGTGGCTAAGTTAGGATATACATGGCGATGGTTTTTCCACCACGCTAATGGACAGTTCCAATCTCCGTTCGAAATTTATTGTGGGTAATATATTATTAGACAAATACATGTCGACTTCTTGTATATCTCTCGATACAGTTGTATGTTTAGATGAGTCATGTCCAGTTAATTCATCAAAAATACACAATAGACTTAAGTCATCTTTATCAGTTTCTTTTTCTTGACTAAACTTATTGATTTACTAAACTTATGCAAAGACTTGTTTCATCCGTTTTCTATAGGTGAAGAACCAGATTTTAAAAAGTTTGCAGGGTGGATTCCTGGATATAAACCGCCAACAAGAAAAACTGTTAGATTCATTACCTCAGGAATGTTATGTCAATACTGATTTGATAATAGATAAAAAAAAAGTCCTTTTTTCGACAATTCTGCAAAAAACATTAAAAAAGTACCTTATCTTCAGAAAGGCTTAATTACAACATAACAAAGTTCCCAAACGGCCAATCCAAGACGTGGAAACTAGGTAGAACTTCACCTATTACAGGTTAAAAAGAATGACTGAGTTAGAAGAGGCAATCCGTTTCACTTCTTCTTCTTTAAGTTCCATCTTCTATCGAAGGTTGGAAATCATCATGGCTATGCCGACTCTGTTGACTGCCGCTCTAAAAAGGTCTGCACTACTGCATTCAAACCATTCGCTTAAGTTCTTAAGCCAGGATATTCTTCGTCTTCCCACATTTCGCTTTTCTCGGATTTTGCCCTGCATAATAAGTTGTAATAATGCGTATTTTTGCCCTCTCATCACATGTCCCAAGTACTCAAGTTTTCGTCTTTTAATAGTTAATATTATTTCTGCCTCATTTCCTATCCTTCTAGTTACTTCAATGTTTGACATTTTTTGAATCCAAGATATTCGTAGGATTCTTCTGTAACACCAAAAGTCAAAGGCGGCCAACTTATTCAGATGAACTTGTTTTAGTGTCCAAGCTTTCAGACCATAAAGAAGAGTAGAGAACACGTAACATCGAAGCATTCTCAGGCGTAGTTCTAACCTTATATCCCGACAACAAAGAAACTTTTTAAGTTTAATAAATGATGTTCGTGCTATTTCAATACGTGTCTTAATTTCTTTGATTTGGTCTACATCTGATGTTATCCATGTTCCTAAGTATTTATAGTTATTAACACTCTTAATTGCAGTATCTTCAATAGTCAATTGGATATTTGTGCAGATTTAGTCATGATCATGCATTTAGTTTTCTTTAAATTTATCTTCAGTCCGTACTCATGACAGCGTTCATTAAGGCGATGCATTAGGTTCTGTAAATCATTGTTGTTATCTGTAATTATTACTGTATCGTCTGCAAAACGTAAGTTATTCAAAACTTCTCCATTGATAGATATACCTTCTATTGAGTCAGAGAGCGCTTCTTAAAATACCGATCACTGTAGACATTGAAAAGTAGTGGGGACAGCACGCAACCCTGGCGGACTCCTCTCTGTATTTTGATATTTTCGGTGTACTGGCGTGTATTTCCGTTCCACATCGGTATTAAATAATACAGACTTAGACCAAATCTAAATAAAAAACACTGGGTTATTTGTTCTCAGCTTTCCCAAATTTTACGGCCGTTTAAAGAAATAACAAGTACAATGAGTGACCAAAAATACTTGAAGGGTAGTTCAGTGATTGTTATGGTACGCGGCCTGCAAGAATCTTGCAAGAAAATGTTAGCAAACGGTAACCTTACATCCATAGTATCCGACGTAGTACAATTACTAATATCGGGTTTAGCAAAAATATTTAAAGGGATAGAACAGAGTGGCATATTGTCATTATGTACATTTATGGATTCACCATTTAAAGTGCAGGGTTTTTCTGATAAAAATGAAGATAAAAAAATAAAAGAAAAAGTTAAGAAGCTGGTTACTTCTATAATTAACGAACAAGAAGATTGTACTATTGAAAATCAACCAGTACAATAAAAAGAAACCAATAAAGATGACTTAAATCCATGGTGTATATTTGATCAATTAATTGGAGATGGCTCATCTACACGTACACCTGTATCGAGAGTCCATTACAACGGTGGAAAAACCATCGCCATGTATATCCTAACTTAACCCCTATATTCATACAGTATTGTAAATGTGAACACATGTTCAAAATCTGGTTTAATTTAAAATAAAAAAAGAAGACGGTTAATAAGAAGCAGGTATAGTAGAAAAACATGTTTTTTAATGTCAATTTAGACTATTCGCGATTTAATAATAACGTGTAATGTAAATGTAAGCACGATTTACTATTTGTATTATTTAGTTTATTTTTCAAGTTATAATAAATATATCATTAGTTTCTTTCACTTCAATAAATATACACATAAACGATAATAGCCATTATGTTTGTTTATGTAGGTACTCTCTTACTTGAAACTACTTTTAAACAATCATAGTTACTTGTTTACAAAAATTTAAATTTTTAAATTCATTCATTTTTTTTGGAATCCTGAGAAAACTAACAAATATTTTTGAAAAATTTAAATGCATAATAAAAGATTACATTATTACCGAGGGCCGAAAGTCCCTTAGAATAAACAAAAAGTTTTTTGAATGAGATATTTGAAATTAAAAATCATACTAATTTTTTTTTCGCCCTTATAACTTATTAAAATAAACATTATAGAAGTTTTCAGGGACTTTTGGCCCTCGGTAATAATGTATTGGTTCATTCTGCGTTTAAAGTTTTCAAGAATATTTATTAGTTTTATCAGGATTCGAAAAAAATGAATGCATTTAAAAAATATTAATCGCTCTTACGCTCTTAACGATAAAATTACCACGACCCACCTCTACTACCCGTTACTCGGTATTCTGACCAGACGGACGACGTTGCCAAATAAATTATTGTGTGTGAATATTTTTTAATGTGGTGTTATTGTATGCAGTTTATTATTTCATATTGGGAATAAGGCACAATGTGACTTTAAAATAAGCTTATTTTGATGTTTAGATTTTTAATTCGGAAATCGTACTTAAAATACGAAACATTAATAAATTTTATTTAGGTATATAAAACGATTTCCAAAGTGGAAATCAAAATGTTATATTACACTTATTGTAAAGTAAACTTGTGGCATATTCCCAATAAAAAAAAACAGTAAGCTGCCATTTAAATCAATTTCGCCCAAATTGGATTATCTTAGAACATTGTTCAAATGCAAAAAAAAACAACAGGTCAAATAAATCCAATAAGTTTGGCAACGTTGAACTTCCCCTTTCCAGGCATGCCTGTTTGGCGATATAAAGGGCGGACCTAATATACCTCTCTTTTTCTAAACAGCTGTTTCTCACTCCATCTCACGTAAGGTCCATACCGACCATAAAATTTTTCCTACACTGTATATTCACATTAATAAAAATCGATAACAATGCACCGATTAGGTCAGTGCATTTTTATCGAATTTCCTACTATTAAAATCGGCTATACGTAATGAAACATGAGATCGGACGACAGAGAAGTACATCCCAAACGTTGTTGTGAGTTACTAAACTAAAATGATTTTCTGTCGGTGCAGATAGTCTCGGGTCGGAGAACGAACATTTGCAACGTTGCCGATTTTAGCGCTCCGTATAGTGTGCAATACCTAATCAAAAACTTAACGCACTGTAACTTGCGCAACTTGTGGCATATTCCCAATAAAAAAAACAGTAAGCTGCCATTTAAATCAATTTCGCCCAAATTGGATTATCTTAGAACATTGTTCAAATGCAAAAAAAAACAACAGGTCAAATAAATCCAATAAGTTTGGCAACGTTGAACTTCCCCTTTCCAGGCATGCCTGTTTGGCGATATAAAGGGCGGACCTAATATACCTCTCTTTTTCTAAACAGCTGTTTCTCACTCCATCTCACGTAAGGTCCATACCGACCATAAAATTTTTCCTACACTGTATATTCACATTATTAAAAATCGATAACAATGCACCGATTAGGTCAGTGCATTTTTATCGAATTTCCTACTATTAAAATCGGCTATACGTAATGAAACATGAGATCGGACGACAGAGAAGTACATCCCAAACGTTGTTGTGAGTTACTAAACTAAAATGATTTTCTGTCGGTGCAGATAGTCTCGGGTCGGAGAACGAACATTTGCAACGTTGCCGATTTTAGCGCTCCGTATAGTGTGCAATACCTAATCAAAAACTTAACGCACTGTATATGCGATTAGTCTTTTTAGTTTAGCATATAGCCGCTTAGAGGACTCCACCACTAAAACTTTTTGACATCTATGTATCCTCAATCTTTGGTTGACATAAATTGGAAGTTGCATTGCAGTACAACTCGTCTCGTAGATACAGTGAATTTTTGAAATTAGCAAAACGGTCAAAAAAGGGATCTAAGCCGAGAACAATTTCGAGCAATAATTTTTTACAATTTTTGGAGATTATCCCAACAGCAACGTCTCGCTGAAATGGTTTATGTGTTTGAAAATGAAGCATCACACCAGTCACCTATCCCCACTGGTATTGCGAATTTCAAGGTAGCCGTTCCAGTCTGAGCGACGAATCCAGGCCAGATCCATTCAAAACAGCAGTCACACAGCAAAACATTGATGCAGTTCGTCAGCTAATTAAGGATGACCGCTGTGTAACATACCGGGAGATAGAGGCATATTTGGGCATTTCAAAGATCTCTATCCAAAAGATCATACACGAAGGTGTCACGAAGTTGGTTTGCCGTTGGATTCCTCATTTGCTCACAGAAGAGTAAAAGGCGGTTCGCGTCAATTGGTGTCGAAAAACATTGGAACGGTTCAACAAAGGAAGCTCAAAAAGCGTTTTAGTGTTGTTTATGAATCTTGGATTTACTTCTACGAACCGGAAAATAAACCCAATCTGCTGTGTGGGTGTTTCACTATCCAAAACAAACAAAAGTGATCCATTCTCGAAGTGTGTCAAAGAAAGTGGTAGCAACTTTCGTGTTAAAACCGGATCGTGCAGCTACAATTTTTTAAGAGCTCATTGTTTTTATCGATAACTGTCCAGATTAGAACAAGAATTGGTAATTAATGGATTTTTGGTTGCAGTTTTGCAACCGGGATTTTGCTCAAATTGAGAAGCGCCAGAGAAACCGTGCACCAGTTATTTATTTGCCAGTAGGTTGGGCAGATATTATTATGAAAGCAAATAAAAAGAATCCTTTTGTTGTTACGCAGATGACAGAATGATTTTTACAGTTTTGAACCTCTTCTAAATAATATTAATAAAAACGCAAGTTTTCCTGATAAGCAGGGCTTAGATTTGGCTGGAACATACAACTTTCGATTTAAATCACAAAATGTTGGGTCAATTTTTGTCAAACATTGTGTTATATTAAGAAGTTAATGCCATAAGAAAAGGCAGACCTGTAATAATAGAGTTGTCAAACATTAAAAAAAATTCAAAAAACCTCTGAAAATTGCAAAAAATAAAATAAAAAATATAAAAAGCTTATTACCTTATATTCCACCAGTCTACCATACTTTTTATATCAGCTAAAAGAAGCTACTGACAATGATAATGAAGAAGTGGAAATTGTTGATATATAATTTTATATTTTTTTCCAATGTAGTGTTACGATTTTTTAAATTGAAGAACATTTTAAGCCACAATTTTTTTTAAATAAACTTCATTTGTTAGAAATACGTGTCTTTTTCTGTAAAATAATGTTTGTGCATTTTAATGACTAAAACAATCAAATAACAAGAGTTATGGTTTTCTAAAGTTAACTCAATATTTTTTTTAAATTGTAAACCTTAATATCTTAGCTTTCTTATTTTGTGGCTTACCATTATGTTGCAATAAGGTCTTCAATTGTTAAACCATCCACCGTATAGCCCTTACGTAAGTCCCAACCACGTCTTCACGTTCCCAAAGATCAATAATTCAATGCGTGGACAGCATTTCCAGTCGTCAGAAGAAGCCATTGATGCTTTAAAACAGCAATTTTGCCGGTGTCACTGAATACTGGAATAGCTGTTTTACCAATTGTTATATCGATCTTGGCGGGACATATTTTGAAAAGCAATAAAGTACTACAAGTCTATATATTTTTTGTCTTTACGGCTATATGCAAAACTAAAAGGACAACCCTCGTATGATTTGTTTACATATGATCCACTGAACGTAGGAGTATAATTTATTATAACTGCACATCCGTGAATCGTATTATGGGATCATTAATTTTTTTAGAAAAACGCTGATTTGACTTTAGAATATTTAGTGATAATAAAAATCGATATTTACTGTAGTTACATGATATCTCATATTAAAATAGCATTGGACGTAGTCATGGACATATGGACGTAGTAGATTCTTTTTAGGTATTACCATTTGGACAGTGAAATTGTTTAACACATAAATATTGGCTGTATAATTGAAAATAATAGGCGATGAGATTTTGTTTGCTATCCACATTTTGTTTGCTTGTGAAATAGTAGAATGAAGTATATGTTTTGTTTCTCGTACAAATAATTTGGGATAGAATTAAAAAGACTTTCAAAAAACTATTAAAGGAAAAAAATTATGAGATGAAGAGATATCTAGAGTCTTAAATAAATATAGAACATGAAGAAAAAATCACAAAATACATAAACTGATATCTCTAAGTAGGTTGTCGCAAAATTCTACTACTAGGGGTTTACCATGAATGAAATCGAGGGGCTTTAAATTGAACCAATTACGATAATAGTTAATTATAACATTTAATTTGAATTTAAAAAGTATTGCAAAGTATATTTTATGTGGTCCTTACATATTTCTACCATGCAGTAATTTTTATCTAGATATCATGACCACTCTGATGGTTTTTCCTGAATGATTCCTAAAATTTAGATTTTATCCAGCAAACTGTTTGGATACAAAATGAAGCGTATAAAACCTAACCATATATTTTTTAACAATTTATTCCAAAAATGAAGTAATACCAGATCATGTGGCTTTAATTTTAACACACCCAAGTTAATCTAAAACCAATTTCTGAAATTATATCACAATTACTTCTTTTATAAAAAAAGGTTTGCCACATAAGAAATACAAGATGCCATAGGAAAGCCACTTAAGAATAATAATAGAAAGGAACTTACAAATGACTCTGTATTTCCAGAAGTCTTAGATGAAGCAAATTCGTAAATTAAAGCTAAAGACTAAAGTAAGAGAATAACTCATATTTTGGCTTGATAAACTCCTCAGGGGATTTATTTTTCCTGGTTTAAAGAATATATGATGTATCTTATCACAAAAAATTGCTAATAAATTGTCTTATTCAGTATTTTTTGAACCTATTTTAAATCAGTTCTTGTATCTAATTGAATTTGGCAAAAATAAATGATTACTTTAAGGAGGTTCAAACCCTACTTGTAAGACATTTAGTACATTAAAAATTATCAATAGTTCTTAATGCTTTGAAAATAATGGTAGTGGTAGTGCAAAAATATCCCACATGTTTATATTTGTCATTAATAAAGTTGATCATAATTAAATTTGTCATAATATGTGTATATAATTATTTATAATATTCCTGATTTTTCGTAGCTATAAAAAGCAATGTTAGAAGAAACAGTGGTTCACTTCTACTGCACATTAGCAGTCAAACTATTTGAAAAAGTCATTTATATGTTCACAATGCATAACTCATAGTACCATAACACTGATACCAAATATGTCTCCCTATTTGGTTTAAGTTGTCAACAAAACCAGATGCAGCATCACATTTCTTGGAATACTGGATTTCTAACATCTAATGTGAATTTTCTGTACTCCTAAACCAATAGATTCGCTTATTTACTAAAACAGTTTAACTGATAAGTTGTATCATAGGAAAAAAAAAACAATATTTTGACCAAATGTGGTTGACTTTGTAGGTACTGACTTCAGTCATCTTACAATATTCAAATCTGAGATCTAGATACAGTGTTGTTAAAAAGTCCTGCATCACCTAAGCGTCTTATAGTTTTTGTGGTTTAACACAAGTTTTTTGTATATTTTCGCTAATTAATTTTAAGTTTGTGCTTGTAATTAGCATTATCAGTATACTTACCAATGTTTTTTTAATTACCAGCTCAAAATTCTACAGAAAAGATTAAAATAATCTGATTGAAGGTATTTCCCATAATCCAAGATAATTATGAGGTGATTATTAAGTTGTTAAAGTACTATTAAATTGAATCTTAATGACAAATTTGCCACATAATTTGACTATATAAACACCGTAGTTACCCTACTACATTTATTTGCTCTTTGATTTTGAACAGACTAAATTATCAGACGAAAAGCGTTTTGAAATTATTTTTCATCATAAAAATGACAAATCTAGTCGTGAAATAGCATCCGCAATAAACTGTAATCAATCTACAGTAATTAAGAGTCATTAAGAAGTATGCTGGACAAGGAAAAATCAATGACAGACAGTGTAGTGGCTGACCAAAAAAAACTTCTGTTCAGGATGATGCTGCGTTAAGAAGAACAAGTCTGGCAGACAGAAGCCTTAATTCCACCCAATTAACAAAGCTGTGGTCTGAATCTACAGGTGTAAGCATGTGCACTTCCACTGTGAGAAAAAGACTGCTTAGTTTTGGACTTAGAGGATGTAAGGCGCAGAAGAAACCACTGCTTTCAGAAAAGCAAAGATTGCACAGTTTGAAATGGGTCAAGGAACATTGAATCTGGACAGCAGAGCAGTGGCAGAGTGTGCTGTTTAGTGATGAATCCACTTTCAATATTAATAATCATGCTGGAAATGCCTACGTCAGAAGATTTCCTGGTGAAGAATTTTCTCCAAAATGTGTTCTTCCCACAATTAAACATCCAACCTCCATTATGATATGGGCATATCGAAAAGACCTGTTTGGCAAAGAAAAATTTATTTTTCAGAATGATAATGCTCCTTGCCATAGAGCAAAATTGGTTAAAGCGTGGATGGAGAGTAATGAAATTGATAGGATGGACTGGCCAGCGGAATCAAAAATCAAACATCATTTCCAAAAGCAAACCCACAAATAGAATAAAATTAATTGAATCTCTAATCCACTCTTGGCATCACTGTATTTCCATGGAGGAACTGCAAAAATGAATAAATTCCATGCTCAAAAGATGTGACTAGTTATTAAAAACAAGGGCTGACCAATTAAATATTAAAATTAGTTTAAATTATTTCAATGTGATGTACTATATCATCTTGATGTACATAGCCTAATTTCTGTAATATTGAATAAAAATTTTCAAAACTACATTTTTTTATTTATCAATTTTATTTCTGTTTCTATTTTATAATATTGTGTTTAAGTGCTTGTTTGATGTAGATAGTAAATGGTTAAAAAATATTAATAATTAAACTTCTATTTTCATGTATTTAGTAAGGTGATCAGGACTTTTTAACATCACTGTAGAAGACACAAATTTTCAAGTAGGACTAACTGCTTTTACTATAAGAGAATTTAAGGGAGGTATGACAATTTTATTTGAAACAAAAATCTTAAGCCTTGGGAGTTTTGCACACAAACAAAAAAATAATTTATGTAAAGGTGGAAATAGATCAGTCAATTCGGTTGAACAATGTGGATGATTCAACCAAAATGAACCATGTATTTTGCAATTTAAAAAAAGCGTTCAATAAAATTGATTGTTGAAATGAGTTGAGATAATTTCTACTTTAGTGCAACTTTGTTGTACAACTGGGATGATTCATCCACATTGACTCGTCTATACAAGTTTTCTCAATTGTGTTTGATTCAACCATTTATTTCATTGAGTTAGAATCTTTTCATTCTGACTTGTGATATAATAAGTTCTGTACGCACGTTTCAAATCATCAACATTGTTCAACCGAATTGAATGGTGTATTTCCGCCTTACCTTTTAAACCACAGGAGTCTTTGCACTACCATCTTTTCAAATACTACACTTTTTTCAAGTACCTTTCTGAATATTAATAAATTGTAAAATGACTTATTATTATTGTTTCAACTTCCTGACATTGGAAGTAAAAAATTGAAGATATTTGAAAATTTATGAATCAGTTTTATAAAATAAGTACTATAGTTGTGTGAAAAAATTGTCCAGCACACACTTATATTAATAAAATATAAAAATTCTCAATTACTGTTCATATTTTGCACTTCTTTTCACAAATTGCTAAGCATAATATTCAGAATCATCATCCAACTGTCACATAACACCCAGTTCAGGATTATCATCACTGTATGATATAGGTATTAATTCCGGTAATGTACTATAACTGTCCACAAACTCATGCGGGAGATTTGTTTTCACATTTCCCAAAGGACTAAAACTTACAAACTGTGAATCTAGATTCAGTTCGGCCAAGCTCACAGTTTCCAAGTCATCTTCAGCTACCAGAGCATCTAAATTACAAGGGATCACTTGTGGTTTTGTTATAGTAGAAGTCCTAAGTGTTTGTAATTGAGGTACATTAATTTTTTTTGCATCTTGTACTTTCACATGGTCTGTAGAGAGAGCATCTTGTGATGAAATCTGTATTATTTGCTGTTGCATCTGCATATTTTGTAGACCTTTAATGTTAAAGCTGTGTTGTGGCACAACTTTTTGTATATCAGACACTTTCATGTGGTCTGTAATAAGAACATCTTGTGGAATCTGGAGTATTTGCTTCTGCATTTTAAGCTTTTGTAGGTCTTTATTATTAAAGTTTTGTTGTGGCACTTCTATTTCTTTAATTCCTCTATTTTGTATACCAGTAATGTTATACAAGATCTTTGGTCCCTGTGATAAATTTGGTATTACTTTCTGGCCTTCTTTAATGTGCGGATTCCTACAACCACGGCATCTACAACCAACACAGGGTTTTTGGGCTACATAACAAGGACACCTTTGTCCACAGCAAGTTAACTTCCCTGGAAATCGTGTTGCATTACCACATCTACAGCCTTTTTTCTTAACATTGGTTGTTGGTCTTTTAAATAGTGGCTTTTCTAGATCCTTGACATGTTGAGATACTACAGTTTTTTTCTTGTCTTCTTTGTATTTCCTTTTCAGTGTAATTTTGCTACCATTTTCTGGAGACAAAATAGAATAGAATGAAGGTGGATTAGCCGAAGCTGAATTAAACATTTGAGTACTACTATACTGTGGAAGATTAAAGCAAACAGGTTCTAATATTCCATTGCTATCATCAAATGTATCTACAAGTGTAGCACCTTCATTAATTAAGTTGAACATATTATTCTCTCCTACTCCATATCTCGAAAGCATTTTAAATATAGGTTTATTTTTGATATACATACACATTGCATTGTAGCACTGCAACAAAGCATGTAGCCTTGGATTTTCCACATAATCATTACAGTCTTTACAATTATCACATGCAGGTTTAATTTTCTTTATACCTCCACTACACTTTTTGCATACATTATGCTGACACTGGACCATTCTTGGACTATAAGGTAGCTGTAATAAATTTGTGCAAACAGCACATGAAAGAGAATTTCTTAAATTTGGTAGGAGTCTACTAAGGTCTTTCCAGTCTTCAGGGTCCTTTGCTTTCAAAATGATGTTTGTAATTCGAACATACAAACGTGTAGAATTCACTTTTGCTCCATTCGTGAGATTCGCTGTTGCATCCATTATTGTTTTAAACACTATTCTATTGTATATACTATTTACTTTATTCTTTCAGTTCTATAAGTTGTTTATAGAATACAATAAACAAAATTTATGGTCTTTATAACCAACAAATGTCAAATTAAATTCTTCTTTGTTACTGGCCGTATGTATCTTGGTATTCAGCCACGACTATTTCCAAAAACATCGAATATGAATACTAGGCAAGCCGGTTACCCCAATACCAGCGCATAAGCCGACTAATTTTTTTGCGTTTTTACCTCATCAAACCTTTTTATTCGATTTTATATATTTTTTCAAGTTTAAATGTATTTTTTTATTTTTCCAAGTGGGCCGGAAATTGTTGTTAGATAATGACAAAAAAACAATTTTACGAATCGCTTCCGAGTAAAACTTTGTTAAATACTTTATATAACTTGGTAATTTTTCGAAAAATGCTTCCTTTTTGAGTTATTTGCATTTTTTGTTGAACAAAGGATTTAATTAGTGATTTTTTGGATTTTTTTTCTAAAAAACTACTGAATGAATTGAAATTCTATAAAAATCGTTATAAAATCACGTGAACTATACCGTGTATTATATTTGTTGCATATGTTGTACGGTATTTTCCATTATTTGCATATCTGAAAGACAAAATGAGTTTTGCCAAACTGTACTCTAACTCAACTATTATAGCTAATATAAAATATTTTCAATAGTAAATTTTCTCTCACAATATAATATATTTCAAACGTTATTCAAAACTTACTTATTTCTGGTAATCTTTGAAGGTGCTCTGATTTGTGTCCACCGTGACACTCTATGTTCGTTAAAAATCATAAGACCCAATACCGAAATCCATAGAGCAAACACTAGAGTCTCATGCCTTTCCCAATTTTCCAAAAATCTAACTGACATACTTAAAAATTCTGCTGCTTTGGCGACATCATTGATATCACCGAAGTACTTTAAATAATTTTCGAAAAGAAAGGCAGTAAACATTTGCGGTTGCGTAGAAAACTCGTCCACTAAAGATTCGATATTGTGACTCAACCTCCAAGAATTTCCGACTTCTCTTCTTTTGGGGTTCAGCACTCTACCCAAGCCATGAAAGAGACCTAAACTAAGATCTCTGGTCATCAAGCTTAAGGTGGTGCCTGTTGCTGACCGTTTTCGTTTTGTGCTCTTCTTTTCGGACTGTGTTGTTATAGTAGGAATATCGCTGGTACCTAAAAGTGTTGTAAGTAAAAGACTGAAGGTGATATTTAACATCTAAATTTTTACAAAATTTATTAAAAGAGCCATATCAGTATATTCAATTTTTAATTTAACGTTTCAATGTTTAATTTATTGTTCTGTTTATGATATCCATAATACATGTAAATATCTACTTACCTAATAAACTGGCAACATGGAATTGGTTCATGGCGTTTCTTATATCTCCAGATGATGATGCTAAAATGACATCAATAGTTTGAGACGAAGGCTGCTTCAATATATGACTGTTTGCTTTTACTAATTCTTGGGCTCTTTTTATTGCAATTTTCATCAAAGTGGAAGCACAGGCATTGAAACTAATAAACAAAAACAAATTTTCTAATGTTCAGATACATTTAATAATAAATACAATTACAGGATTATTAAATGACGAGTTTATAAAGTACTTGCTAAGTAAAACACTTTTTATACAACTTCCATCCACAAATAACTGTCCAGTTTTGTTTTATTTTCTTCAAAAGTTAAGAAAAGGGCTACTTACCTAATATGGCCAATATTGTACTTTTGCATGATATCATCGGGAAACAATGTTCTTTGTAAGTTTAGTCCCATGCTGCTTGCTTCAGTGCAAATAAAAACTACTGGTTGTTTCGTGGTATATTTACAAGTCCTACAAATTAAATATAATATATTATATATATTTATATAATAAGTAAATATGATCTGTAAATAGAATAGCTAGCAGTAGCTTATAATGCATTATATAGCAAGTAGTTCATATGCACCAGGCAGATATCCATGGTTCCTAGGTAGTTAAATATGTTTTTCTAAAGTAAGATAGGATATCAATACTTTGTAGTTCATATAAGCCAAACAGATGGACTATATCCAAAAATGGACATCATAGGCTTCACAGGCAGTTAAACATGGGTTCATACAAGTAAGATAATGCCACCAGTAGCTGGTAGTTCATATGTACCAGACAGATATCACCATCACTAACTTGTAGTTTATATGTTCCTGAACTGAAAGTTGATATTTCTCCAACAATGACTATTATAAGTTTCACAAATATGTTTTCCTATGAGTCAGTTAAGAGCAGAAATATCTTATACCTAGTTCATAAATGTCAGGTAGATACCAGTAGTTGTTAGTTGACAACTGAATGTTGATATTTTTATTTGGTGATTAGAAAAGTTACTGTAAAATAAGTTAGAATATTTAATTGTTAATAAATTTAAAGAACAACTGTAAAAATCAACAAACAGCCTTGCCACTGATCAAAAATTTGGGTGATATAGTAGATAATATAGAAAAATTTCATGAATGATCCATCAAATAGTTCAAATAATATTTAAATTGTTAATGGCATAAAGATTTTGTTTTCCTAATAACCACCACCCAAATTTATTGCAGAAAATCTATTTATGTTTATATAAAGCTATTATAAGTTTTTTTCTTTGTGGCCTAAACTTGATAAAAAAATTGTCAAATACCTAGGTGGGTAAGAGTACCAAACAGACTACTCTTTTGGCATTTTATTTCACTGAACTAAAATGCAGAACAAAACAATCATTTGGAAATTTAAAGTATATATACCATTTGTGCCATTAAACATAAAACATATATAAAAATACTGCACATAAAACAGCTTTAAATAATCATTTGTTACTAACTTAATGTCTTACTATAACTTACTTATTCTTAAATGTTTTACTGTAATGCTCACTATAAAAACTGAATATATATTAGGTATTATGACTTTATTTTACCTAGATATGGAAACAATAAATCACTAAGAACTCACTCTAACACTTCAAAGAAAAGCTGTGGATTCTGAATCACTGCATTTGGAAAATCTTTTACCAGAGATATTCTGCTAGTTGTATTTTCAAACAAAGAACAATACTTTGACTCTGAAAAAAACTCTAAAAACTTTTCAACCTGGTTCATGCCTTTGTACTCATAATCTTGATCAACAGGGTTAATCCACTCTGTTATAGAAATATTAAGTTTCTTACATATAACACTAATTGTTGAAGTCTTTCCTGAACCAGTAGGGCCTGAGAGTAACAGTAGAGGTGTAAAAAAATTCTAAAACATAATGGAACAAATAAAATCGACTACATAATAAACTTAAACAGTAATTACCTTCTTTTTGTCTAACACAAATCTATTAAACCAATCCTCGACTTCTTGTATCTTTTTAGGATGTACAGCAAGTTCACTAATGAGCTGTGGTGCAAGCTGTTGGTGAAAATTAAAGCATTTCTTTACAGTTACTGGAATATTTTTTCTACTGCTAGTTATTTTGGTCTCGTAATTTTCTTTAATATGTTCTTTAGGTGACAAATCAACTTTTTTTGTTGCTGGCCCAAAATCAAAACATTTCCACTAAAAAGTATAATTAAAAAATTTCAAAAATACGAATAGCAGCACAATACCTGTCTAGATCTCTTTGAAATGTCCATTATTTAATTAAAATAAAATATAATACTTTATAAAAGTTACAAATATGTTTTAATTTTGAATTTGAGATTTTCAGTTTATATACATTTTAAATATAGAATAACCTTAATTTTAAACATTATTATGACGTATGACACAGTGTAAAGGCACAGAAATAAAATAAACTGACAGGTTTTTGACACAGAACAAAGCACAAAGTTTTCTGTTCTGTGCTTTTGATGTACTGAATAAATACAATGTTGCATGTACAACCAAACCATTGCTATATGTACTGGTATTTTAAAGAATAAAATAATAAAAAATATTTTAAACACCATAGAATATTTGGTAAAATTATAGTATCCTGTAGACGTAGAACTCAGCAGGTAACTGGTAAGCTATATTTACCTTTACTCTACATTTTCCCTTTTTTAGGGCTGGGCGCTGGGCGACACTGACTGACAATTGACTTTTAAATAAATCCAATGACGTCATTGAAAAAACGCATAATATGCATGTCATATGTCATGTCATATGTCATAATATATTACATTTTACATCATTTTTATTGCACAATTTGCACATGCTGTGGGACTTGTGATAACACGTGGTGTTACAAGGTAATATTATATTTTATATATTAAATAAAAATGTCAGATAGCGATTCATCAAGTCCAGAAATCGACAATGAAAGCGAGGGCGTTACTCAAGAAGTTGTAGAACAGTCTGAACAGGCCCAAGTGACTTGGAAAGATTTGGTAAGTTTTGCACGTGGCCTCCAGACGGAGTTACACATTCTTACTATACATAAATTTAATTTAGGGTCTTGTAGATGCGCTTTGTAAAGCATGTGAACAGTTAAAATGGAAAGAACCATCGAATATACAAAAGGAGGCGATACCTGTGGCGTTACAAGGAAAAGATATTATTGGATTAGCCGAGACGGGCTCGGGTAAAACGGCTGCATTTGCTTTACCCATACTTCAGGCGCTTTTGGAAAATCCACAGAGATATTTTGCACTGATTTTAACACCTACCAGGGAATTAGCATTTCAAATATCTGAACAGTTTGAAGCCTTAGGTATGATAATTTATTAACTAATTTCTTTTCCTGATGCTCTGTATTGATGTACAAATTCAAACAAATTTAACCATTAAATGTAACCTGTGCTTAAAATGTAACAAAAATTCAGCAAATCCAAAAAGCAGCCATGTTACATGGATCTCCTATGAAAATGCACAATTTTTGTTTGATATTTGATGACCTAATTTTTTTATATATCTTATTGATATACGTAATTGCAAACTATCGAAATATTTGTTTCAGTGTGACATGTTTTCTGGATAGAACTTTATAGATCTTTTTTACCAATTGTGCTATTTTTTCTTTTTCTGATGTTACCATCCCTTCTGTGTTTAGTATTCTTCTAGATTTCTTCTCAAAACTTTTAAGATTTTTATTCTCTTTCAAAAATAATTTCCAGGTTTCTGTAGCGTGTTTTCAGACATTTTTCAGACGTTTTTCACATTTAGTCCCATTGAAGATAGCCTCACATGGGTTTGACAGAATAAAATGTTGGTTTTGGCAGTGTTGAAATTTACATTACAAATGAAACATATGCAATCAAAAGCAATAAGATATTTAAAAACTAATACTTCACAATTACCAAAAAAAGAAAAAGTAAATAGTTTTAAAACAGTTTTTAAAAGTAAATAGTAAAATGTCAGTATAAATAATAAAGTTAAAACTACATCTCTGTTGCAATCTGACAACTGGTGGTTTCAGGGTTCTGACTCTATTGCCAAATCTATCTGCTAACCTATCAAAGGACAATTGCCAAAAAAAATTCTAACAATTAATTGCAATTAACATCAAACGGAACAAATATTAATTCATTAATGTTTTATATAAGGTAAAAATTGCAGAATCCACAAAATAATTTAATAAAATGTAAATTTTAAAAGCTTTATCTCTTTGTATTTGATGCATATAACATATACATTATAAGGACATGGCAACACTGCAAACGCAATATTTCGTTATGTGAAACTTAATTGACAGCTAATTTGAGGCCTTCATTTGATCTTCACTGGGACCAAATGTGAAAATCATCCCATTTTTCCTTTTTTTCTTTTGTTGTATAACAGTCTTCATTCTGCTGTGCCTTTATTTCTGATTTTTATATTAACTTAAAATTGTATACATTTTGTTACTCTATTTTTTATACCTTGTGGGCCTATGGCCTATATGTGTTAATTACATGACACCTATGATGCATACCTTAGTAATTGAATAATATATGAAATTACTACATACTATTCGTCACTACCTCTGAGAAATTTCAATTAAACTTCAAATAACAATGCGGGGTTCCACAATTTCCTAAAACACATATTTTTTAGGTTCAAGCATAGGGGTAAAATGTGCAGTAATAGTAGGAGGCATGGATATGATGTCCCAAGCACTGATCCTAGCCAAAAAACCTCACATTCTAATAGCAACTCCTGGCCGTCTGCTTGACCATTTAGAAAACACAAAAGGTTTCAGTCTCAGAGCTCTAAAGTTCCTTGTGATGGATGAGGCAGATAGAATTTTGAACATGGATTTTGAAGTTGAAGTGGATAAGATTTTAAAAGTAATTCCCAGGGAGAGGAGGACATTTTTGTTTTCAGCTACTATGACACAAAAAGTTAAGAAATTACAGAGGGCCTGTCTGCAGGATCCTGTTAGAGTTGAGGTCTCCACTAAATATCAAACTGTGGAGAAGCTACAGCAGTATTATATTTTCATTCCTGTGAAATTTAAGGTAGGAATATCGAATATAACTAAGATCCAAAGCCTTTGTTTTAAATTATTATTTAATACATTTTAAATATTCAGTGTGCCCCCATTTGTAGTAAAATATGCAATTACTGAAAGTTTTTTTATATATGATTTTAAAAATATTTTATCATATGTGACAGACTAAAACAAATTGATTTAAAGATATTAAAGAGTGAAAAATATTGAATATTACACATTTTGCTCATGATGTATCCATTATTTTATTGACACATAATGAAAAGTACACATTTTTTCGTCACTACCTCTGAAGCGTTATATCACCAAACAAAAATATATTATTCTGTAGTAAAGTAATAAACCAAAATCGTACATTTATTTTTAGGATGTCTATTTAGTGAACATTTTGAATGAGTTGGCTGGTAACAGTTTTATGATTTTCTGTTCTACATGTAATAATACAATAAGAACAGCTCTAATGTTAAGAAACCTAGGATTAACTGCTGTGCCTCTGCATGGTCAAATGTCCCAGAATAAAAGATTGGCTGCATTAACAAAATTCAAGGCGAAAAATCGATCTATTCTGATATCTACGGATGTGGCAAGCAGGTATGTATACTATTTATTTAATATCAAATAGAAAGTTTGAGTTTGTTGTACCTTAACTTTTGAAGAAGAGATGTCTTTAAGAAAGTACAGTGGGTATTTTTCAACAAATATAATTTAAATTTATAGCTGTACAACAGTGGCATCAAAGAATATAGACGCTTATAGAAGAATTTTTCACTTCCCGTTTAGCAAGTTGAGAAAGATTGAACAGAGTTGATCGCACGTTACAAAAAAGAAGGGAGGTGGATCGAGATGGATCGAGGTTTCACTAGGGAGCGGTCATGTCAGCGCTGTTATTGCTTCTAAAATATGAAAGAGTGGGGCAACAAATGCAACTTAGATATTTTTATGAGATGCCGCGTGGTCGTAGAAGAGGTTTAAATTTTTGCATTTTATAAAAATTTTTAAAGAAAAGAATATATTTTATTATTATTATTATTTATTATTATTTTAACTTTTAATAAATTAATCTTTTTAAAAAAATATGACTCAAATTTTTAATTCAAATATATACAAAAGTATAAATAATATAATTAAAACTCTCTTCTTATAAACTATAAATAAAATTAATTAAGCGGCAATCACCGGGAGAGAAAGCTCAAAAAATTGTAAGGTGTTTCGATCAAAAAACAATTCCTGATCTTGTTAGTACGCTAGAATTGCTTTTAACACATACACCAAAGAATTATTTTTTATATTGTGAAGTATAATTTCGGATTTTTAAATTAAAAAATAAGTAAGTCTCAAATAACTAATCACCAGAGCTCAACAAAGGAAGATAAGAAAAAGGCAAAAATTGCAGCTGGGGCATAGACCATAGCAAATCCTTAAACATCCAAATCAGCAACACCCGACGATAAAATGAGACTTGGGGAGAATAAAATCACCCCATTGTAATAGAGTTGCTAAGAAATCAAAGTGCTCTAGCAGACTAGGTCATAAAGCACCCTGACAACAGACACCACCCTGATACTCAACTAGATCGGGCTCAAGCAAATTTGATCATTAACAAACTAGAGCAAGCACTTGAGGCTCCTATCTAAGGTCAAAATGAACTCCTGCAGTTCCATAAAACATCGTTTAGCAAAGGGACTCTGTGGGTGAACTGTGTTAACGAGTATACAAAAAAATGGACGACTGAAGTGGTGAAGACTATTGAGGGCCTGTGGGAGAGAGTAAACTTAAATATAATTGTTTCAATAATATGCCTAAGCGCCCCATGATCCTCACCCGCGACCCCAAGAAAAAACTTGATGAAGGACCCATCTAAAAAGGCAAAATCAAGACCTTAACTCAGAAGACTTGTGATCTCTGTTCCACATACTGAACGACAGTAAAGATAAATGTTATAGAGGGAGGAGTTATGGAGATAGTTCTCAGATCAGCATACCTCCTATATCCTATCTACCTCTTTTTCTTCTTCCAGGCGAATTCATCTGTGAAGTTTTTGGAGCCAACGTTAGTCAGGCATTCTCAATAGGTGTCCAAACCATTTTAAACTTTTTTTTCTATTCTGTTTCTGTAGCATTCGCATTATTTCTTATAGATTCGTTGGTCTTCCTTCCAGCCTTGATGTTCTAGCACTTTTTCTCAAATAATCCATTTCAACTGCCAACAATCTTCTCTTCAGGTCTGCATTAATTGTCCATACTTCAGAGCCATAACAAAGAACGGATTCAACCATGGTTTGCCCTATTCTTTTTTTGTTCCTTTGGACTTACTCCCTGATTAAGGGTAACATACTGCATCCTTGTCTTAGTCCTTTGGTTACTTTTATTGGCTCTGATAGTTTATTTCCGATTTTTAGGTAAGTAGTGTTATCCCTATATACTTTTGTAATTATTCCTAAAAAGTATGGACTAATGCAGAGTTGTTGTAAAGCTTGCCACAAATTAAGTCTTGGAACTGTATCATACGCTTTTTCTAGATCGATGAAAGCTAGATGTACTTCGGTGCCAATCGTTATTCTTTTTTCTATTAATTGTTGGAGTATAAACTCCAACAATTGGTTGGTTGGATATAAGTTATCAGTGCTAGATCTACCAGGCGTAAATCCACTTTGGTCTTCGCTAATTAGATGTCCTACATCATCTTGTATTTTTCCATTTATTATCTTTCTTTCAAACAATCTACCGAAAGTAGGTAGGATACGTAATCCTCTGTAGCAGTTAGGATCTTTTCGATTACCTGTTTTAAAGATGGACTCTAGGTGAGCGGTTTTCCATTCAGATGCTACTTTAATTTGTTTGCAACATTGCTTCATTAGAAAAGTTATTCGTTCTATTAGAAGTAGACCTCCTGCTTTAAGTAACTCTACAGCTATATTAGCCTAGACACGATGCTTATCGTAGTCGAGGACGTCCTCCAACAAGGTGGTCGGACGATTTAAAGCGCATCCAGTCTAACTGGATTCAAGTTGCTCAAGATCGGATGCAATGGAATTATTTACGGGAGGCCTATGTTCAGCAGTGGACGCAAAATGGCTAATGATGATGATGATGATGACAGCTATATTACCAGGTCCTGGAGATCGCCCGTTTTTTATTTTAATTAACGTGGTACGGACCTCGTTATTAATAGTATTAATGTTACTATTTGTTTGTCTCTCCATTCTGTATTCCTGTCCCATATATTCCAATCTGGACTGTTGGAGAAAATTTCAATAGTGATTTTCCCACTGTTCTATAGGAATTAAGTTACTTAAGGAGTTATGAGTGTTTTATTTTAGATTAGTGATAGTTTTCCATGCTTCCGTACTCTGAGAACCACAGAGAAATTAAATTTACAAACTTGGACACATTTTTGTTCCCAGAAATTGTATTTTGCTTCTTATTTTCTAGAGATGTTGGCGACCACATTGACCTATCTTATTCTATTCATAGCAGCGCGCAATAGATCAGTTGACGTTAGATCAGTCCATTTCCTAAGATTGGCCAGCCAGGATATACGTCTACGTCCAGGGTCTCTCTTACCCTCAATCTTGCTCTGTAGAATCAACTGTAGAAGTTGGTATTTATTATTACGCATGATGTGGCCGAAGTAAGCCAATTTTCTGTTTTTTTGTGATAATGTCTTTGGCTTTTCTTAGCCTTTGGAGAATAATGTTACTTGTATGGTGTATATATGACACCCTTAATATACGTCGGTAGCACCACATTTCAAATGCCTCCAATCATTTTATGGCATCTTCTCTAAGGTCCAGTTTTCTACTCCAGCTTTCTACTCCAGCTTTCTCTTCCAGCTTTCTATTCCAGAGAAGATGACACTAAAAAAGTAACATCTAAGAATTCTTATGCATATATTAACACTTAAAGATAAGTTGCAGAGAATCTTCCTAAGGCTGTTGAAAGAGCTTCTGGCTTTTTCAATACCAGTTTTTATTTCGTAGCTATAACCCAAGTATCCTTAATATTGCTGCTCAAATTGCATATTTTTTCCACTCTTTCTAACGGTGTATCGTTAATTGTAATTTGGGCGTTTATGCCGGTGTTCTTACTAATGATCACTATTCTTACATGCTTCTACAACGTTATCCATCATCCTGCGCACTGTCTGCCAGAGACACTGTATCGTCTGCATGTCTAATGTTGTTTGTGTTGGCCATTTACAGCAATCCCATCTTCTGATTCGTCTAAGGCCTCTCTAAAGATGTTTTCAGAGTATATGTTAAATAATGCCGGTGACAATATGCAACCCTGTTTAACTCATTTTTCGACTGTGAAGATCTCGGGCAGTTCATTTTCTAATCGTATTGTTGCTTTTTGTTGGATATATAAGTTTGAGATCAGTCTTATATCCTTATCATCGAGTCCTGATGTTTTTAGGATCTCGATTAGTTTCTAATGTGGGATTTTATCAAATGCCTTCTCGAAATCAATGAAACACAGATCGCAATTGACATCCCTGGCTCTCTGTATTAGTATTAGTGTGCCTCTAATAGACTTAAAATTTCACCATGCACCTCACCAGGTCCTGGTGATTTTCCATCTTTAATCCGCTTAATGGCCATAACATCTTCGTTTGTTATTTCTGGGCCGTGGGGATTGTTTATTTCAGTCGGACTTCGTGCTGCATCTTCGAATAATTCTTGCATATATTCTTTCCATCTTCGTAATTTATCCTCAATGGTAGTCAACATTTAGCCTTCAATGTCTACAACTATTCCTGTTTTGTGTTGTTTTCTGGTATTCTGTACCTCTTTATTTTTTTTTGTCCATATGGAAATCGTCATGTTTGCGTTGTAGTGTTTCAACATCCATACATTTCTCCGTACTCTTTGATTGCGTATTTCTCCGTTTTTCCTTTGATATGTTACTCTATTGCTAGATGTTTTATTTGTTAGCCATTTCTTATACATTTTGTTTTTTTCTTGTATCGTTTATTTTACGGTTTCTGTCATCTATGGTGGTTCGTGGTGTTTTTGTCGTTGTTCTCTGTTCCTAATACTTCATAAACAATTTTTTTTATTATCGTTTGAAGGTTGTTGTATTCTTGTTCTACATCCATATTTCTTTTTATCTCATTTTGTTCTTTTTCTAATCTAGATTGAAAAAGATGAATACTTAATTGGAATAAAAGGTGCAATTAATATCTCTCCGTTTTGTACTGTGTAGTTTTGTTGGATCTACCCTAATGGAATAACAACGAGTTCTCTGTACGTACCTACTTAGCGGAGAAAGGCAATGGATAGGAACGACTGGAAAGAAGTTCATGAGAAGGCTAAAATCCACGCAGAGTTGTAAAGACAGAATGATGATAATGATGAATTTTATTAATTATATCGTTAAATATTTCCAAAATTTCTAAATTTAATAATTTCTTTTCTGTTTTTAATATAATATCTTAACATAAAATTAAAACACAACACTGTTATATATTTAATTTGATACATTGCTCCTTATTATCATATTTCTTAGAAGAAAATAATTTTAAAATAACTATTTCTGTTTACAAAATATTTATATTTCAAACAATTTTATTTCAAATTTATAGTTCTTCAC